CTGTTTGAACTGGAAAGGGCGGGGGAGGGGAGTGAGGGTGGGGATTGGGGGGATTGGGAGGGAAACGGGAGGTGTGGAGGAGGTGGAAATTTTTAATAATAAATAAGTAAATAAATAAATGCCACATAAAGATGGAAAACACACAGAGATTCTGGATACTGTATATTATTATGCTCTCCTTGAATTGTTTGAATAGTGAGGAAGAAGCAACAGGTTCTAAAAGATATTTGCTTATAAATTTTGAGCTAATCCAAGATAGGAATTTTGAAAATACCTTGAATTCAAAATTAAGGCAGAAGGTATGTTACTTTGAAGAAGAGATTTTGCTTTGTTTACACAGGAAATGAGAGGCTGTGGATTAATTCTGAGTTAAGAAATATCAAGTATGATCAATGAAGAACACCTAAGAAATCACTATAGGGAACAGATGGCCCGATGGCCCAAATGTCTGAACAGGTTCAAGATGCTGCCTGAGATGATCAAGCCTCAGAGGATACTCCAGTCAGGACTTGATTATAACTCTATATTTTCTTTAGGTTCCCATTAGATTATCAACACTCCCAATCGTCTGGAAGTATCCTGGAATACTATGCCCACATTCCCCCCCAAAAAAATCAATTATGGATATTTTCCTTAGTTTAAAAAAAAGAGGGGGAAGTGGTGCAGGAGAATTGTCTGTATTCTTTCAATCATAATTTAAATAAATGCTGTTTGGCCAGTATCCAGGCAGGAAGTATAGGCTGGACAACCAGACAGGAAATAGAGGCAGGGCAATGAGTACAGGAGTATTCTGGGAAGGAGGAAGCTGTTCCTGCAGTCCTGTCCAGACATCGAAGAAGCAAGATGTGACCTACCACACTGAAAATGGTACTGAGCCATGCGGCTAACACAGATAAGAATAATGCGTTAATATAAGGTATAAGAGTTAATAAGACATCTAAGCTAAAGGGTCAATCAGTTTATAACTTTTGGAGACCTCTGTGTGATTTTCTTTGGGATTTACCAGATATGGGAACTGGGTAGGACAGTAACTCCCGACAAGAGGGTCCATAATGTTACACACAGGTACAAGATATAATCAGGAATAGTCTTTGTCCCATATAAATAACACAATCCAATACCATACAGGTCTTCCAGGTCTTTTAGCACAAGGTAATGAAGAGATTGATCAATTATTAACTGGAAGCATATTTGAAGGCCTCAGAATTCCATAGGAAACATCATGCCAATAGCAAAGGTTTAAAGAATTTTCTATTACATGGCAACAAACTAAGAAGATTTTAGAGAGATGTCTTACTTGCTCTTGCTAAACCAAAGACCTCTTTCTGCAGGGACTAACTCAAAGGGTACCTAAAGGAATAAAATCTGGCAGATGGATGTTTTCCACTTTTCAGAATTTGAAAAATTAAAATATTTACACCACACCATTGACACTTATTGAGGTTTTCAGTGGGCAACTGCTTTGAGCTCAGAAAAGTTTGATTCAGTAATCACACCTTTATTGTAAGTTATGGACATCATGTGTATACCTGCACAAATGAAGACAGAAAATGGTCCAGCATATGTCTTTAAGAAAATAAAACGTTTTTTTGCTTATTATAATATAAAGCGGGTATACCACATAATCCTACAGGTCAGGCAATTGTAGAAAGACTTAATTGAACTATAAATGATATGTTAAATAAACAGAAAGGGATGGAAAATACCCCCCAGGAATATATTGCATAATGCTTCATTAATCTTTAATTTTCTTATCACTAATGAGAAAGGGACAATAGAAGGAGAGAGACATTGAATAATAAAAAAGTCTTCTGAATTAAATCAGTCAGTTTATTTCATGGATGTGTTGACTTCACAATGGAGACCAGGAGATGTGCTATGTTGGGGATGGGGTTTTCCTCTTGTTTACACAGGAGAAGAAAAACTAAGGATAGAGTCAAAATTGATAAATATTCAGTCTGAAAAATAGAAAACTCTTGAGAAAGAAAAATGACAGCTCATCCACAGTGATGATAGCAATACAGGTTGTAAGAAACCTTATAAAGTATGGGGCAGGGTTTTGCTCTTGTCTTTACAGGAAAATACACATCTTCAAAACATTGAAGAGACCCTGAATGTTTGGACGCTAAGAGAAGAAAAAGTAACTATCCAATAAGGATCATCAAGAAAAAGGAATATGACTTGTTAGGACAGGTGATCAAACCATATACATTCTGGCTTTGGAGTTGTACAATGGCTCTGCCCTTCTCTAAATCCAAGTAAGTTCATAAAAATATTTTACCTTTCTTCATACCTATTTTTGTATTTATTGTACATTTCATTGAATATATATGTCTGTATATGTCTATATAAGGATTGTTTAAGTTTTCCACAATGAACAATGAACTTTATTTTGAAGTTTCCAGGAAGAAGATGGGGCCCCACAAAAACTCCACCTGGTTGATATGACATCATAATGCTATAGCACTATAATTAAGATCTGTTTTAGGTATCAGCTACTCAAGATGATTCCAAATTGGTTAGCTAAAATGGTGTACTTTTTAACAATGTAGAACTCCATATAGGAACTGCAGAAAACCTTACCAAATACTAAGAGACTATTTCCTAATATACCAGACAGTAGTCTTGGAAATTAACCATCATTTTACTTTCACAGGATCTCATAAAAAGTACATCAACTACATGACTGCTGGAAGTAATTCTAGAAGATGACATCCCCTCTCCCAACAAATTTTGTCTCCAGGGTTAGGGACATCATTTAGGGGTTGATTATAATTGGTATAGGGTTGGGACTTGGGGGAAACATTTTGTAGGCTAAGGGATCTCTTTGAAAAAAAGTAGAAAATTGGATTGGATAATAGATTAGTTTGAGCTTACACTAATTATAGTAATGAGTAATAGAGTGAATACTTGTGATCTATTATTTATAGGCAAATTACATTGGTATATATTCTTGCATATTGATACAAACTTAAATCATATTGAATATTGCCTATTTTCATCTACAATATTTATATATCTAGGAAAAGTTACTTTGTCATATTGTATGCATTCATGCTTCTACCTGTGCTTAACACATTTTTATATATTTATACATTTTTAGGATATATTTATTATATTACAATACACATTTCTACCTCTGGTCAAGAACTCTTATAAATTGCTTACATTTTGAGGTCATTGTCCTCATTTGTTGCACTGGTATTTATTGAATAATATTCTAATATGAAGTCATCGTCTTTAAGTTATATAGGTATTATAGATCAGTAGTTATCTATGTATGCCATACTTATAGTTAGACTAATCAGGTTCTTTAGATACATAGAGATTTTATTCTGCATAGACAGGTAATCTTCAACCACTTCAAAGAACTGTAGAATGTGGCATTTAAATAATTTAGGGTTCTGTTGAAGTGAGATACAATTGCTCCTGGCAGCACCAATTTATTCCCCAAAAGAATGGTGAGCACCTATGACACTCCTTTTGGAGCTTGTTTTCTTCTTCGCAAAACTGGCCTTTGTGCAAGGAACTGCCTATGTTTCCACCACTAACAAAATGCATGATGTCTGGACAGGACAAGCAGGATACAAGAAAAAAAGACTGTCAACTTTTGACAATACAGGGTAAGAAAGTTTTGAAATTTTTCTTGCCTCAGAAAATGGTCTGTCAGTTATTCTAGGCCTTAGCCACAGTTGGTTGTCAAGGTAGCCAGTTGTTTTTGGCATTTATTGCACATTTTGAAAGTTACTTAATTACACTTCCTGCTCATTCCAGTATTATTATATTCATTCTCAGATCTTCAATTGGGTTGAAGACTAGATAGTTGTGATGACTTTCCTCTCATGAGTTGGCCAAGTTATTTATTATACAAGAGTAAAACTCATCAGGATAGGATAATTATTGAAACATTTATCACATGTTTGTGGCTTGATATATTTGTTCCTACTTTTGTATTAGGCTTACAACTCTCTTATGTAAACAAAACAGGGAGGTGCTGTAAAAATTTCTACCAACAGTAGCCTTTATATTACCAGAGCACTTGGGTTTGGTCTCTTAAACTATGCCAATGTAAAGTGTGTCAGTCCTCTTTTCTGGCTGGAGAATTCATGTTCCTATCACAGTAAAGTTTTACTTAGAGGCAGGTGTGATCCTAACCATAATCCCCTTCAGGAAGAAGCTATGTCCAGGAGACAAAGGGACAGACAGAGCTAATATCTAGAAACTCAGATGTGTGTGGAACTTTTATAGTTCACATTGATCCTAAAGAGACATGACAGTGAGAAACACAACATTTTCCATGCATATGGTGAAAAGAGAACTAAAATAACGTGTGGTGAATCCCTAACAATGAAAATACATACAAAGAGCTATGTTAATGCTTCAATTTCTATAACTGTCATCAGTGAGAATAATGTCTTATACTTGCTCTATATACTGCCTTCTGCCCAGGTCCAACTACAGAGCCTCTTGTTTCAAAAACATATACAAATGAGTCTTCTTTTGTGCTTGACCTGACCAGCAGGCCATGTAATTCGTGGGCCTCAAGTTCAGGATCACCTGGGTAGGAATGGGGGGAAAGAGAAAGAGAACCAAGCGCGTATAAAGAATGACAGAGTCAGTCTGAGATGCGTCTAGGTTCCGTTTATTGCAGGCAGGGGTTTATTCTTATAGAGTGGTTTTGGTTGGGAGGGGTAGAGTTAGAGGGGAGCGGAAACTATCGCGCCCTAGGCCAGGGAGGAAGCAATATATCTCTAGAAACAACTAGTGGTTAGGCCGTGTCTTGGCACCTTGTGGTCAGGTTGTTCTGAGAACTGTATCACAGCTGTTTTGGCAGCAAGCTGTTGTTGCAGAGAGGATGAGGAAGATTGGCCAGTACTTAAGGTCGGGGGGCTTCTTGGTCCCCAACATGTGCCCATAAAAACCAGCCCTGACCTAACCCTTCAGCTCTGGCAGAGGAGACTTCCCAGTCAGGGTTCAGCATTGAACACAGGATACTCACCATGGATTTAGGGCTCATATTTGTTTTCTTTTTCCTTATTTTTAAAGGTAATTCATAAATATGAGATGCTGTGTGTTGTGTGGACATTAGAAAGAGAAAACTTGTACTCTGTGTCAGTTTTCTCACCAGAATTCTTTGTGTTTACAGGTGGACAGTGTGGCATACAATTGCTGGAGTCTCGGGGAGGCTTAGTAAAGCCGGGAAAGTCCCTGAAACTCTCCTGTGCAGCCTCTGGATTCACCTTTAGTAACTACTGGATGACTTGGGTCCACCAGCCTCCAGGAAAGGGGCTGGAGTGGATTGCATACATTCATCCAAATGGTGGTGCCACTGTCTATACGGACGCTGTGAAGGGCCGGTTCACAATCTCCAGAGACAATGCGAAGAACACTCTGTACCTGGAAATGAGCAGTCTGAGGTCTGAAGACACAGCACTGTATTACTGTGCAAGAGATGCAACACAGTGAGTGAATGCTACTGTGAGCTCAGACAAAATAAACCTGTGGAGAACACAGGACCAGCAGGGGGTGCTGAGAGCACTTAGAGATCTGGGTCACAGGAGAGCCTGCTCAGAGAAGCATGGAAGACTGCACTTCTCTGTGTCTACACTGCCCCACCATATCACACTTAGAGATTCGCTCTACAGGTATGGTGTGTAGTAATCCTTGATGTCCAAATGATTATTCAAATTTCTGTTTCCAGTTGTGTGTTTTTTTATTATAGTGTTTCTCTTTGTTTCCCTTTATCTCCCTCTGTATCCCTATTTCTATGTTTCACTCTCTCTCTTTCTCTCTCTCTTTCTCTTTCTCCCTTTCTTTCTCTTAATTTTTCTTTCTCATTCCTTTCCCTGTACGTGTTGTGTGTGTGTGTGTGTGTGCTGACATATGATGCATTTCTTTAACAATCTGTACCACTTGTTTTGAGATAAATTCTCTCACTTGGCATGGATCTCAACGACTGGATAGTCTGGTTGTCCACTGAGTTCCAGTGACGGCTTTGTTTCTACAATCCCTATATGGTATACCTGGTTGACAGCCACACCCATTTCCTTCTTTTATTAAGGATTTTGATTTCTGTGTTCAGAAACTACTGATGGGGTTTTGTGTGGCAAAAACTTGTTTTTCACAGTCCCATTATAGTTAATTTTTCTACTGAGGATGTGCTTTTACCTGAACAAAATGCAGATCATCACACAGAGCAAAATGATCCTGTATAGTGATCAGCATCAGTTCCTGAAAAAGCCAAAGAAGGAGGTAAACCCTAGAAGAGGCAGGCAGCTCAGAACCACATGTAAGTCTAGAGGACCCTGTGCCATCTGTTTGTCTCCATGAGCACTTCACTGCCCACAAAGAAGCATATACCCCCAATTAAAACAGTGTATTTTTTAAAAAGTTCTCATTCAATGCTTTGATTTAGCCCAATGACCTATTTCCTATGTAGTTTATATGAGACCTTGATTGAAATGGTAATATTTCAAAATATATTTCTCATTTGATTAATAAATACTGCGTTTGAAACATCACTACTCCCTGTTAAAGGTTATTACATGGTTTCAGTCATCCAAGAGAATAGTTTAATGTTTTCTTTCCAAGAAAAACTCCTTTCTTCCACTTCTCTAAGTTTTGAATCAGGAAGTTAATAGATAACACTGGGAACTCAGGGTTGAGAGGAGATGTCTTCATGAACACACAGTGTTCTGCCCTCCATCTTCTGATTGGGTTGCTTAAACTTGACCAGTGCATGTGGGCAGAAGAGGTGACAAAAAGCTGAAATTTTTTATAACCTCCTTAAAACTGAAAAGAATTAGTTGCCTGTAACTAATGATATGAGTGCCATTTACCCAAGGAAAGAATGAGACCAAGTGTTAATGAAAAGGAAGAAAAGGAATGTCAGTGCTGTGGAAATGAAATGTGGTTATTCTGAGACATTATAAAAACTGGGGGGACACTAGAGAATTACATAAGATAATGTGACCCTGCAATCTCACTTTCAAGAAGTGAGGAGAAAAAGAAGCAGAGTTGGTGCAGGAAATCAGGAAAGGAGTGGGGAGAGAACAAAAGAGACATTGGTGTCAGAGTCCAGAAGGGTCAAAGGAGTGAGAGAAAGAGGAGAAAGTGTAGTGGGATGAATCAATGTGATCATAGTGCATTAGCAATGAGCGTTCTGATTTTTTAAGCAGAATGAATAACAATAGGTGGAAAAAGAATATTTTCAGATATTATATGAAGTTAATACACATATATCCATATGCTCTTGTAGGTGTGTTTTTGGAAAGGATTGTCTCTAATGTTGTATATCTGTCTGTGTATATATGTCTGAGTGTTGTGTGCTTGCTTCAGTGATGCAAACTTTCTCATCATCTTAAATAGTTTACATTATAAATAGTTTACATTACAGCATCATCTGACCTTAGAAACCTGCTCTGAGGTCAGGTGAGCTACAAGACTGGGATTCAAGGTTTGACTTCAGGCACAGGACATCCCTTACCCTGAGCAAGCTTCTGAAGACATTCCAGTTCCCATTCTTCCTTAAGATCCTAGTAATTCCCAAAGCATAAAAGGCAGAGAACACAGCACAACTGAACCCGATTTCCTCATTAAGATATGTGACTCATATGTGCAGTATGCTTTTATTTTTCTTTTTATTCAGGTGTGTGGTGTTGAACATGAGTAGTGAGATTACAGCACATGCTGTGGTTCAACTACACAGTAGTCTTGAAAAGATCATGGAGTTCAGAATCAGAATAGGAGTCACCAGCTGAGGGTGCAGTTCCCATACTACTACTACTACTACTACTACTACTACTACTACTACTACTACTACTACTACTATACTACTTCTTCTTCTTCTTCTTCTTCTTCTTCTTCTTCTTCTTCTTCTTCTCTTCCTTCTGTTTTCTTTGTTTGTTTTGATTTATCCTCAACTCCCCAACATTCTCAAATCTATGCTCAGTAAATTGATCCTTTTGTTTGTTTGTTTTGTTTTTGTGTACCTGAGATAGGGTTTCTCTTTAGCTTTGGAGCCTGTCCTGGAACTAGCTCTTGCATATCACACTGGCTTCAAACTCACAGAAATCTGCCTGCCTCTGCCCCCCAAGTGCTGGGATTAAAGGCATGTGCCACCACTGCCTGGCAGTAATTGATCCTTTATAGAATCAGTTATAACAGCTGAGTGTCACAAAAGAAGAACTTGTAGTTCCTGCTGTTTATTTTAGAAGTGCATCAATGTAGTCATCAAAAATTATTTTCTGTAGAAAACTGTGATGTTTTAAAAGACTGAGCTAGGCTTGTAGCTCTGTGGTAGAGTGCTTTGTCACCATGTGAAAGATCTTAAGTTTAAGAACCAAACTCACTTAAAAATAGGAATTAAGCACTTAGAAAAATACCATTTCTTGCTTTCACAGTCTTAAATGAGCCACTCTTGTGGCTGGAAATTGAATGGAAGTTCTCAGAGTAGGAAGAGCAGTTGAGAGGTTATGGAGAAGGAACAAATCTACAGGAGTTCATCTCTTGGGTTCAGTAGCAAGCAGTTCATTCAAGGTCTGAAGAATTTATGACACGGGTCTAGATAATACAAATTGTGAATCCCATGCAGGGTAAAGACAATGTTTGGAGGGCTGTAAATCCTAATTGGCTAGACTGTGTGTGTATAATACACAGTTTTCACATGTGTCTGGAGGCTAGAGTTGAATTTGAGTATGTTTGCTAGTTGATTTCTATCTTATCTTTGAGAAAGGATTTCACAGTGAACCTGGAGCACAAATGTGCAGATAGAAGTTTTGGATGGCAAAATACCTCCAGTCACAACGCACCCAAGTGATTGGAATATAGGATAAACAATAACACGCAGCTTCTAAGTAAAGTGTTGTGAGTCAAGCTAAGATACTAATACTGGGAGGCAGGCATCTTACCATTCAGCCAACTCTTGAGCCCTGAATTTTATACCTTGAAAATTGAATTGTAATATGTAAATGCACACATGTGTATAATAATTTTTAATTATTTTTAATTAGTATTTTTTAATATTAGTAACTTATAGGGAGAAAAATTTTGCCAATTATTGATTTTTTATATCAACTGATTATGTAGAAATGAATGCCTCATTTCCAAAACTTTATATGTCAGTCCTGCCCAGACCACAGAAGAAGGAGGATGTGACCTACCCCACTGAAAATGATAAAATGAGAGAGTGATCTTCACAGGAACCCATATTAGTCAGCTTTCTGTGGCTGTGACAAAATACAACAACTAAAAGCAACTTAATTATAAAATGGGGCACTGAGCTGAACAGAGAATTCTCAACAGAAGAACTACAAATGGCCAAAAAACCTTAAGGTCATGCTCAACTTCCTTAGCGATCAGGGAAATGCAAATGAAGACAACTTTAAGATACCATCTTACACCTGTCAGAATGGCTAAAATCAAAAACACCAATGATAGCCTTTGCTGGAGAGCTTGTGGAGAAAGGTGTACACTCATCCAATGCTGGTGGAAATGCAAACTTGTGCAACCACTGTGGAAATCAGTGTTTAGGTTTCTCAGGAAATTCGGGATCAACTTAGCTCTGGCCCCAGCAATACCACTCTTGGGAATATACCCAAGAGAGGCCTTATCAAACAACAAAAGTATATGCTCAACTATGTTCATGGCAGCATTGTTTATAATAGCCAGAACCTGGAAACAACCTAGATGTCCTTCAATGGAAGAATGGATGAAGAAACTATGGAATATATACATATTAGAGTATTACTCAGCAGGAAAAAACAAGGACTTCTTGAATTTTGCGTACAAATGGATGGAAATAAAAACACTATCCTGAGTGAGGTAAGCCAGACCCAAAAAGAGGAACATGGGATGTACTCACTCATATTTGGTTTCTAGCTATAAATAAAGGATATTGAGCTTGTAATTTGTGATCCTAGAGACGCTAAATAAGAAGGTGAATCCAAAGACAAACATATAGGCATCCTCCTGAATATTAACCTTTATCACGCGATGAAAGGAGACAGAGACAGAGACCCACATTGGAGCACCGGACAGAAATCTCAAGGTCCAAATCAGGAGCAGAAGGAGAGGGACCATGAGCAAGGAACTCAGGACCGTGAGGGGTACACCCACACACTGAGACAATGGGGATGTTCTATGGGGAATTCACCAAGGCCAGCTGGCCTGGGTCTGAAAAAGCATGGGATAAAACCGGACTTGCTGAACATAGCAGAAAATGGGGACTACTGAGAACTCAAGAACAATGGCAATGGTTTTTTTGTTGTTGTTGTTGTTTGTTTGTTTGTTTATTTTTGCAAGTTTTTTTAATTTATTAATTTGTTAAGGAATTCTGCCTCCTCCCCTCCACCGCCTCGCATTTCCCTCACCCTCCTCCAATCAAGTCCCCCTCCCTCATCTGCTCGAAGAGCAATCAGGGTTCCCTGACCTGTGGGAAGCCAAAGGACCACCAACCACTATCCAGGTCTAGTAAGATGAGCATCCTTTTGATCCTACTGCACATACTGGCTTTGAAGAATCCTAGACAGTTTGGATGCTCACCTTACTAAACCTGGATGGAGGTGGGAGGTCCTTGGACTTCCCACAGGTCAGGGGACCCTGATTGCTCTTCAAGCTGATGAGGGAGAGGGACTTGATCAGGGGAGGGGGAGGGAAATGGGAGGCGGTGGCTGGGAGGAGGCAGAATTCCTTAATAAATAAATAAATTTAAAATAAAAAAAAGAATAAAGTGTGGGGCGGTGCAGGTGGACGGCGCAGGCGGATGGCACAGGTGGACAGCGCAGGCAGACAGTGCAAGCAAATGGCACAGGCGGACAGCGGAAAGCCTCCGCAGCCAGTGGGGACCTACGGGGACCAGCATGGTGGCAGACTACACAAGCTGCAGGCGGTAGGGATCGGCATGGCAGCAGACGCAGGTGGCAGGGACCAGCGTGACACACTGAGAGCAGATTGCCCCACTACATTTAAATCAAAGAGGTACGCCTTTGGTTGGCAAGGTCCCTGGTAAAGGAGGAGCTGGGTCCTGTTCCTGAAGACCCTTCTGAGGGGTGAGAGGGATTTTGGCCCCCAGCAGGAGCCAGAAAACAGAGCGAGGGCATTTTGTAAGAGGAACCTCTGGCCAGCAGGGAAACCTGATCTGGTTTTAAAAGACCCATTAGATAGCATCGATAGGAAAAGATGGGCAGGCGCCAAGGCAAGAATTCACTGAATAATCTGAAAAACAACATGAAAACACCAGAACCCAATGATCTTACAACAGAAGTATTTGAACAACCTAACACAGAAGAAGTGGAAAAAATCGACTTTATGAAGACAATAGAGTCCCTTAAACAACATGTAAAAAATGCCCTTATAGAAATGGATGAGAAGTATAACAAAAAGTTTGAAAAAATGAGTAAATACGTACATGATACCCTGGGAAACCAAGAAAAAACGATCAAACAGGTAATGGAAACAGTTCAAGAATTGAAAACTAAAATGAAGGCAAGGAAGAAAATACAAATTGAGGACCAGCTGGATATGGAAAATCTAGGTCAACGAGCAGAGCCTATGAAAACAAGCATAATCAATATAATACAAGAAATAGAAGAATCTCAGATTCTGAGGATACCATAGAGAAAATAATTGCATTGATCAAAGAAAACAGCAAAGCCAACAAATTCTCATCACAAAACATTCAGGAAATATGGGACACAATAAAAAGACCAAACCTAAGAATAATAGGAATAGAGGAAGGAGAAGAGTCACAGCTCAAAGGCCCAGAAAATATTTTTAACAAAATTATGGAAGAAAATTTTCCCAACATAAAGAAAGATATTCCTTTGAATATTCAAGAAGCATACAGAACCTCAAACAGACTGGATCAAAGAAAAACATCCCCTCGCCATATAATATTCAAAACACAAAATATACAGGTTAAAGAAAGAATATTAAGAGCTGCAAAGGAGAAAGGCCAAGTAACATATAAAGGTAAACCGATCAGACTTATACCTGATTTCTCTATGGAAAACATAAAAACCAGAAGGTCCTGGATAGAAGTACTGCAGAAGCTAAGAGACCATGGATGCAAACCCAAACTATTATACCCAGCCAAGCTATTGTTCACTATCAATGGAGAAAACAAGACATTCCCCGATAAGAACAAATTTAAATAATACGTAGCCACAAATCCAGCCCTACAGAAAGTAATAGAAGGAAAATCGCAACCCAAGGAATCCAACACTGCCAACACTGCCTACAATAACTGAGGTATCTAGCAACCCTTCACCAGCACAACTCAAAGAAGGGAGACAGACAAACTCTACTACCAAAAACAATAAGAATAACCGGAGTTAACAACCACTGGTCATTAATCACTTAATATTAATGGTATCAATTCACCTATAAAAAGACACAGGCTAAGAGATTGGATACGAAAACAGGATCCAACATTCTGCTGTTTACAAGAAACGCATCTCAACCACAAAGACAGGCATCTACTCAGAGTAAAGGGTTGGGAAAAGGTCTTTCAAGCAAATGGTCCTAAGAAAAAAGCAGGTGTGGCCATACTAATTTCTAACAAAATCAATCAGAAGAGATAGAAAGGGACACTTTATACTCATAAGAGAACAATTCATAAGAAGGACGTCTCAGTCCTGAACATCTATGCCCCTAATATAAAAGCACCCATTTATGTAAAAGAAATATTACTAAAACTCAAGGCAGACATCAAACCACACACACTAGTAGTAGGAGACTTCAATACACCTCTCTCAGCAAT